GGTACCAAGCTACATCACCACACAGCCAGCATCGATTCTGACCTGCGATACCTCCAAGCACATCCAACGCATCAACAACCGTCGCCTAACTAACCTCAACCTACAATAAAGTAATTGTCTCCTCTGCATCCCCCTCCATGACCATCAAGAGCACTCACAAACTTCCTTGGGCTTCTCAGAAGCACCAAATACAAACAGTTAAAACAAATCACTGGCAGACCGTACGGATGCTGTACGGGTGGCAAAGACTTCTTTTTAGCCAAGATTCAGCCATCTTGATCAACGACAATTGATCAAATTGAGCTCAAGACTCAAGTTACAAATGTCCTGTCCTTCTATATTTCGTTGCCAGTAGCTATAAACTATGGTAACAATACTAGTGAAGCGCCAACGGACTCGCCTCTCAAAGGATGCAACACACACACAAAAAAGGGGGGGGGCATATGTGCAACTGAAAGGATGAGATGCTTAAGCTCTTGCAAAGACACCGCAGCACACACTGAATAAGCTATCAAAACCAAATACTCCATTCTTAATTGCCTAACCAAATCTCTCTTCTGTTCTCCATGCAAGTAACGATGATCTTTGTTCAGAGCAGATAGGTTCTTTCTCTCTGGCTTTCCAATACAGCCCTCAGGGTCCTGGTGGCTTGGTTTTTTGTTTTGTTTTATTTAAAACAACATACAAAATAACTGGTAGCAACTGGAAATTTACTGTGGGGAGAGTCTCGGTGGGTGAGGGAGGGTTAAGCACCCAGTCCCAATGAACAGCTTTAGGCCTCACTGTTTCTACTCAGAGCTTCTCTACTCTTCCACATAGCAAAATGAGCCAACCAGTTGTCAAATTTTGCAAGAAGCAAAAGTTCACTCTGTTGAATCCTGTCAAAGTTACCATGAATGAACTCTATGCTTGCAAACACAGTTCTATTTAGAGATCACCTTCACACCAATAATGGGCTAGAAATTTTTTTAAAAGAAAAATGAAATCAACGCTGATTAGCAAGAATCTCCTGAAAAAACAAACTTGTTTGCTGAAACATTTCAAGCACTGATTACGAAGTTTGACACTAAGCATCGTTTTCTCCAAATGAAAAAGTATCAGATACTACAGACACATCAACCTCCTTTTGAGACCTGCTGCATCTCCACGATGAACCGAGTGTGTGTGAGCACACTGGCCATATCCGATGGCACATGCTTCCAGTATCACACAAACAAGTTTGAAAGATGCACTTCAGCAAAGTTGCTTGTTAAAATATAAAAAAAAAAAAAGATGAAGTGGACTAGATTTTCTGCCTTGCTGTTACAGAACGCATTTACAGATGATAATGCAACATGCTGTACTTGCTTCGTCACAGCCAAAGGCGCACGGCAGGGGAATCACACCTTCAGCTGGTTGACAAGCAGTAAGTTAGTTCACTAACTGTATGAGCTAAAAGTTTCTGTCATGTGAATACACGTGAAAATAAGTGAAGCACGATTGCTTCTAATATGCTCTTACATTGATAGTATTGCTCATCACAAGATGATTTCAGCGTACAAAGTCAAAATAAATTTTAAAGGGTACTTTAAACTAAAGTTTCCCCATGATGGGGGATGCCCCTTTCTCATTTCCATCTGTTGGGGATTTTCTGTACCAAAAGCGAGCCAAGTCCATTGGGCCCATACCTTATTCCTGCAGCTCTAATTTCTACATCAAAGCTTAGTGTGGACTGTTACTGCCTCAAAAAGCAACATGCAGGAAAGCATCCAGCAAGTTTCTCACTTTGGTGAAGGTCTGCGAGGATCCCAGCAGGA